TGTGTGTGTGTGTGTGTGTGTGTATGTATGTTGTGTCATTGTTCCCATCTCCCCAGGACAAATTCAAATAAAAATCATAATCAGAGTGGCCATTGTTACCTCATATGTGGCAGGGAGACTGGCTCTAGAGTTTAGGCTCCAAACAGCTGTTTAATTCATAGCAATTTAAAACACTACATGATAGAGATAGAGGCTTCGAGCTAAAAAAGTGCCTTCCAGGGCACAGAGGCAGGAGTGTCTCGAATTTGGTGTAAGGAAGACCACAGAGAGGGTTGCTATTTCTGTTTGTCTCTCTGTCTGTCTTGAAACCAAAGACATGGGGCTTGATATGACCTCAGTCCTTAAGTCTTCCCCCACTCTCTCAACAGGCAGATGACCTCAGCAACCCATTTGGACAGATGAGCCTCAGTCGCCAAGGTTCTACTGAAGCAGCTGACCCATCCTCAGCTCTGTTCCAGCCCCCACTTATCTCCCAGCACCCTCAGCAGACTAGCTTCATCATGGCTTCTACAGGACAGCCTCTGCCCACTTCCAACTACTCCACCTCTAGCCATGCACCACCTACTCAGCAAGTCCTGCCACCCCAGGGCTACATGCAGCCCCCTCAGCAGGTGAGCAGCTCAGGTTCTGAGCTTAAATCACTAATTCAGTTTGTCCAGTATTAGAATCCTTCTTTCTTCCTCGGGAGAAAAGACCAGAGGGGATGCCTGTCACCCACTTTCATTTCCCCACCTTGCACTTGAGAGTTGTCTTTCTAGTTAGAAGGGTGGCTTTCTAGATGACACAAGTCCTTCCTGTTCTGTTGCAAACTTGTATACCAGCGCTGCAATTGCAGACCCAAAATATCTCCATTTACAGATTTTTGGCCATCAACCCTGATGCATTTGATAGTTTGGGGATGTTGGGGCTGAATTTGAGGGACCTTCTCACACATTTGTTTCCTCTCACCATAGATCCAGGTTTCTTACTATCCCCCTGGACAGTATCCTAACTCCAACCAGCAATATCGACCTCTCTCTCACCCGGTGGCCTACAGCCCCCAACGTGGTCAGCAGCTGCCTCAGCCATCCCAGCAGCCTGGTAAGGAGAACTATTAGTATAAGAAGTCAGTGAATAAGTGAAGGGTAGGGACTGAGAAAGAGAGAATTGCCTTCCCCATTTAAGGCAGAGAATTGCCTTTCCTGTTTAAAAAAATAAAAAGTAAAAGGGCAGGAATGATTAGAGTCCTAAAGAGAGACCCAGGATCTCCAGAAAAAGAAATGGTAAAATAGACAGGGGAAGAGAAATTGCTGACAGACCATGCTGATGCCTTCTCTGCCTTGCCCATCCCTAGGTTTACAGCCCATGATGCCTAACCAGCAGCAGGCGGCTTACCAAGGCATGATTGGGGTCCAGCAGCCACAAAACCAGGGCCTGCTCAGCAACCAGAGGAGCAACGTGGGGGGCCAGATGCAAGGCCTGGTGGTTCAGTACACTCCACTGCCTTCCTACCAAGTGGGTGCACTCTGCGTTGGGAAAGATCACCCAGGCCTCGGGATGAAGGATGGGGGACAGTGTCCCACGTCTGACAGTTCTAACACTAACATGTTGTTCCCTTCACCCCTAAAATGTTTAGGTTGTTTTCCTCTGAGAGAAGAGTCTTCATTGAAATTGTTTAATCTTTATACAGCCATACAAATGAGTATATGCCCAGAAAAGTAGGGTCTAAAGGAAGTCAGGCTCCTTTCTTCATATTAGATGCCCAAGAATGGTGTTTGGAGAAGAGGGAAATGGAGGTAGCTCTATAAGCACTTCCTTTAGGCAGATGAGGAGAATAGGAGTGTCTGAGAAGTAGAGAAGGAAGTTAGAGGGTCCTGATCTAGTGATGACTGGGCTGTTCTCTGGATGAACTCATTGGGAATACAAGTAGTCATTCTCTTCTCGTCTCCATTCAGGTCCCAGTGGGTAACGACTCGCAAAATGTGGTCCAGCCGCCTTTCCAGCAACCCATGCTGGTCTCTGCAAGCCAATCTGTGCAAGGGGGCCTCCCAGGTGGGGGCGTCCCAGTGTACTACAGCATGATTCCGCCAGCTCAGCAGAACGGTACGAGGTGAGGACTCCCTGAAAGTTGGGGCACATCTCCCATAGACCTTCAGCAACTGTTGCACCATGGTTTTGTTTCCACTGGCCTAAGAAAAAAAAGGCAGGGGTAAAGATCCCAGTGGTACCCTAAAGCTGGTAGAATATGAGGGAGGTCATCCTCGTTGTTGATTTGACATTTCCATAAGAGCTCATCAACATAAAAAAATTCCTGCTTCAGACAGAGGCTTTATAATTTTCCATTTTTTGTTTTTCTAATCAGTGAGATTCAGAACTATGGGATAGAGACTGCTCATCATTAAAACAAGCAATTTAGAGTGTGTATATGTAAAATTCTCTGTTTATGTCCATGGATGAATCTCAGATGGTCTATTTCTATATTATTTCTATATTTTAGTATGGACCATAGCTGGTAGAATTCTAGAGGTACAAGCTACCTTAGAAATCTCTAGTCCACTTCCCTTGTTTTATTTTTCTCCCTTTTTTAAATAAATGAAGAAATTCCAGCTAGGGATGTTAAGAAACTTATCCAAAGTCACACAGCTAGTTAAAAGCAGAGCTTGGGGCCGACCGAGTGGCTCAGTTGGTTAAGAGCTTGCTCAAGAGTGAGCTCTGAGCAACAGGGTCGCCGGTTCCATTCCCGACCTGAGCTGAGCTGCCGCTGAGCTGCCAACAGGTGGCAGGATGGCTCAGCTCAAAAAAAAAAAGCAGAGCTGGAACTAGAATTCAAGTCTGGGCCTACCTGTATGTATTTCTGTGTGTCTCTCTCACTGTGCATATGTTTATTTCTTTCTTTTTGTATGTATGTCTCCTGTTGTCTTGAGTTTGGGGGGGGGTCCCCCATTTGTCTTCAGGTGACTATGTGTGTTTGCCACTGTGTAAATATCCTAAATCACATACCTCCTTAGTTCTTCTTTTACCTTCCTCTCTCTTGCATTGTTTGTCTGTCTCTGGCACTATCTTTGTGTGTTTCTCAAAGCGTGTATGTGTTTGTGAGTGTATGCACATGTGTGTCTGGTGCTTTCACACTGTTGGGAAGAGCATATGTCACTAACATTCCATCTATAGCACTGATTAGCAGCTTCCTAATTGAAAGATGATCAAGTACAAATATATATAATTAACTTTGAACTGATGAGTGATTTTAGAAATTGCATGGTAAATTGGTCTGGGAATGGCTTGGAGCTGCCTCTGCTTCCCACAGGGGAGGCCCAGGAAGTGGCAGCTGTTTGCTAGGAGCTGTGTTCCTCCCTCTACTGCTTTACCACTACTCTCTCCTCCATCTCCCCAGCCCTTCTGTAGGGTTTCTGCAACCTCCTGGCTCTGAGCAGTACCAGATGCCTCAGTCTCCCTCTCCCTGCAGTCCACCACAGATGCCACAGCAGTACTCAGGTAAGAGGATAAATATTTGGAGGGTCTTGGGTACTGGCAAGAGCAAATGCTGAAGAACTTGTACTCTAAAGCTGGGAAGGGCAGAGAGAGTTCAGGGATTGGCTCTGTCCCCAACTGTGATCCCTTCAGGAGGAAAGACCAAGGTCCTGGCTGGTGTTTTCCAGGGGTGGTAAAGTTGGCCTCTCAAGAAAGGCAAGGTTGGTTGCCCCATCCCTATCCCTGGGAAGCCACATGTCTAATTGGGCTCCTTGTTTTTCTTTCTTGTTCCTTTTTTTCTTTTTCGTTTTCTGAATTCAGCATTACACTTACCACGCACGTGCCTTTGAGACATGAAGTGCTGACCTGTCATCTGCACTCATTCTTCCTATAGACAGCTTTTTTTTTCCCTTGAGAATGTGAGACAGGCCGATAAAATCCTTTTTAAGTCATATCTTAGATTTGTTTGTTTTTCTTATGTGCTCACATGCATTTTATTATTTTAATTCTCACCACAACTTCGTGAAGAAGAAATTTAATACTCAAAGAGGATAAATGACTTGCCTAACGTCACAATCCTAGAACTTGAACTTGGATCCTTTGACTTTGTATATCCTATGCCACATCTTCAATAAGACATTGTCAACAGGCTTCTGTACTCTATTCCTTTCCCTCCAGTGGGAAATAAATGGATATTGTGTTAAACAGCAAAAGGTCCTCCTTGGAAGGGACCAGCTCTCCCAGGTGCTTTTGCCATGCAGCCTCGCACTGTCTGCCTTTGCCAGGAACTCCCCCAACACACCTAGTACAGCTATCCTTATTTTGTTCCCTTTCACTCCACCCTGTCATAGCGTTAGAGGAAGTCTTTTTTTTTTTTTTTTTTAAATTGGGGAATTGGGAGATGGGAACAGCGCTGGGGAATTGGGGGAAGGGGAACAGACAAGTTGCTGTCCTTTTGTTGTTCAGTCTAGTTGTGGAGGACGTTGCTTCACTGGCCCAAGTTGGCACCATCATTGCGCTCTTCCCAGGCAAGGCAGATCAGTTGCCGGCTTCTGGAGAGCCACTCATGGCGGCTGCTGGCCGCTCACGCTGGCTGCTGGCTACACACGGTAGCCCATGGCAACCCACTGCAGCAGGGGCTGCAGCCTAGCCATGGCCAGCGACTCACGGCAGCCCAGCTCCAGGTTGAGCTGTTGTTCAGCATCTTAGCTGTGGAGGGCAGTGTCACTGGCCCTCATATGTGGGATCCGAACCGGGGCCCTCTGGCGTCCCAAGCCAGCTCTTAACCAACGTGCCACTCCCCGGCCCTAGAGGAAGTCTTAATGTAGCCTGAAACCATCCCCATTCTCCTCTATTGTGGGAATGTCAGAGTGCCCTCTTCCGGTGACAGAGGAGTATTTGTGCCAGCTTTTCCCATTTGGAAATGGAGTATTTTTCACATAGATTTTTTTTCCACTGTATGTTAGATGCTGTGGAGTAGATTCCAGAATTAATCTTGCTCATAAGACATGATCAGTTCTTACCTTCAAGGAGTACTGTTTTCTGCCTTCATCCATGGATCTCTCACAGACTGAGAAATTTTTAATTCAACAGCCCTTACCCTTTATTACATTATTGGTCTGTCTAGATGTTTCTCCTAGTGTCCGCCAGGGGCACTTGACCTTGAAATTCCCAGTGGGGAATGGAAATTGTAGAAAACTGCTCCATGAACCACTGTAGCCTGTGGTGGTGCTTGGTACCGCAGGGCATTTTCTCTCCTAGTTGTTAGAATAAGTATGTGCGTGTGTGTGTATGGATATACTATCCTTAGTGGTATAACAGTATATCTGTTGGGTCTCTGTGGTTATATCTGTTAATCTTCAAACATAAGGTCTTTGAATCTGAAACAAACCAAAGGAAAAGAATTTTTCATTACCTACTCTGGACCAAATGCTGAGTTAAGTAAATTGAAACAACTGTTATTCTGAAAGTTGGCAACACTTTCTGGGACTGGGACTGGAAGGAGACAGTCTAGGCTCTTTCCTAATCAATAGAAATGGAGAAAACCCTCTTCATCATCTAGTTCCCTTGCTTCTTTGGAATTTCCTGTTATATTTCCTTTCTTCCTAGCTACCCTAATTGGTCCTAGGCTTCTGACTGACCGCTTGTACTTTTCCTAGATGATGGGACCCTCCGTTCCACCCACATCATCTAAGAGACCATATTCACCATACCACAGATTTTAAAAGTTTCCAATCCCTGCTCATGGAACTCTAACAGGAAGTAGAAGAGAAAAACTGCTTCTTCTGCCTTCCTTTCCAGTTTACCCTTTACTTGGGAAGATAGAATGCCAGCGGAACCCACAGGGACTGCTATGTCACCTTCAGAGGACAGTCACCCGCCCTTCTCCCATGTAGCAACATGGTCACTTTTCCAAAAATAAAGGGAGGGATTAGGATTGGCTGTTCCTGGAACAACTGTTCTGGTTTATTAATACATTTTTGTAGTTGCCCAGTTTAGCCCCAGGCCCGGACCTTAATTCCTCCATTGTGATACTAGACATAACTGTAACCCCAGGAAATACTTTTCTTCCCGCTAAAATGATGGCTTGCAGGTCCCTTGAGGTTTCTACAGGGATGCTTGTCTGGGGAGGATGCACACAGATATGAAATGGCAGTGAAATCTATACATAGACTCCGAACTCCCAGTGACACAGCAGCATGGCCAGAGTGAGGCGCATAGAGAATAACCTCTCCCATACTGGCTCATTTTGTAGCTGAGGGGTTACCGAGGCTGAAACTAGCTCTTTTCTCCCCCACTCCCTGAAGAATTCCCTCTCCCCCACCAAAAAGGGAAAAGACCAGACACTCTTGGCTTTGGGAAAGGTGCCTGTGGATTTTATTTCTCTGGACATTCCTTTCCATAGATTTGATTCCTGGTGGTGAGGAAGAAGCCTTACCAATCTTCTACCTCTGTGATTAAAAAAAAAACAACTAAACAAAAACCAATTCTGCCAGACATAAATGTCATCTGTTTATATTTATGTGGTTTGCTCTGCCCAATCGACCTTTCTACCCAGGTTTAATGATGCCACTTAAAAAGCTATTCACACGTCCCCTAGCTCCTTTCAGAGCTTTCAAGCTAAAATTGATTTCCGTATTCAACCCCCTTCCCACTGCAACCCAGGCTCCTTCCTCCAACCTGATTATATGGAAGTGCTGTCACTGGGCAGTGGGGTGGTTGCTTTTCTATTTTTTTTATTTTTTTTTATTGCCACGTCCATTAAGAAGTAGCGACAGTTCAGCTACTAAAGGATGCCACCTGCTTTTGGCTTGAGGAAGAGAGGCATAAAAATCAGCTCATCAGCAGAGTAGTGCTCTGTGTCCTCGGCTGAGTGAAGGAACAAAGCTCCAGGCCAGCGCGGGAGGACTTAGTGTGGGGAGGAGCTCAGGACTGAGGCTGCGACTGAGAACCCTGGCTTTGTTTTTTTTTTGGGGGGGGTAATCAGAGAAAATAATATGAGGACTCTGTTCTCTTTCCCCCTCCCCTTGGGTCCACTAATAGTGCCCTAAGGCTACATGTTGTTATTTGGAAGAGCTTCCACCGCCTTACTTCTGCCCACACCCTGCATCCTCACACCCTTTCCTGGCCCAGGGCATTAGTCTCAGATTATGAGCTGCCTTCCAGAAAAGCTATAGATTTGATTATTTTTGCCTTGGCCCCCTCGGGTAGCAGTGAGATGTTTGAATAAGGTCAATTGCAATTTTGTTGGTAGAGGATGTTGGAGCAGGTGGGGCTGTTAGGATGGGGAAATAAAATGCCCAAAGCAAGTATAGTGAGGGGAGAGTTGTTAAATGCATGACACTCTGCAATTTTCCTGTGGCCCTTCTGCAAGCCATGCTGATGAATACCCTGTCCCCTTCGGCAGGGGATGGGGAGGTGTGGGCCTGTCACTGAGTATTTGTGCTCTCTGATTACAGGAACCTGGGGTCGGGAGAGGGGCACAAATTGACTGGGGAATAAGATACGACAGATGCTGTGTCTCCTGAGCTGCTCTCTCAGGCTCCCTGCCATTTCTTTTCCTTTCCGTTGACCGATGCTACCTGAGAAAAGCAATCACGCTCACTTCTCAGCAGGACTGGTGCCCAGGGCAGAGGCTGCAACATTTCCCGTCACAGGAAGCAGTATGATGGTGGCAGCAGTGGCAGCCCCAGAGCACCGAGCCATGAAAACAGCAGCACTGCAGCAGGTTTTCGAGCTTACAAGGCCCGGTCCCATTTCTCTACCACCACACACACATGAACCCAGCCTGGCCCTCTACAGAAAGATAGGCTGGGAGGTCAAGAGCAAACCCTCACACCAGACAATCCCCTGTGGGGAAGCAGAGAGCTCCAGCACACCCCTCCCAGCAGGGACTGTCCATCAAACTTCTTCTCCCTGACCCCTTACCTTGCTTTTCACGAGGAAGATTTGGGACTTAGTGTTCCTCCTTATTGAGCCCTTTGCTTCCCCTAGCCTGTGACAGGTAAGGCTATCCTTGTTTGCCTGTGTTAAAACCTTGGGATTGCATCCAGTCAGTTACCTGAACCTGGCAGTAAAACCTACAGAGAGGGTCTGACATTCCCACCCCCTGCTGTCAGTGCTGACTCAGAACCTCCTTGTTCAGTTTCCGCAGCTTCCTGACTAGTCTTCCTGCCACTAGTCTCCCTCCCTGCGGCCACCTTACATTGGGCCACTTGAGTTAGCTCTCTGAAGCACAAGTCTATTCCCAACACCTGCAGGATAAAGACCTTCATCAGAACATTGTCAAACTCTGACACCAACTGTTTGTTTACTGTCTGGCTCCCTAATAGATTGTCTATTCCATGAGGGCAGGTTCCAGTTTTGTTTGTTGTACACCCAGTGCCCAGCTTGGGAACTGGCACATAGTAAACGTTCAGTAAATGTTTGCTGAATAAATGTATTTCATCTCCTACTACTTCCCCTACATAGCCCCAGTGCCTTTGCACCTTGAATTATTTGTCATTTCCTGAATATGATATACATCTCTGCCATTCCCTCTGCTTGAAATGTTTCCAACTCACCCAACCCTTGCCCAAGAAGTACCTTCAGCGTCTGACTTAGTGAAGCTGTGTGCACTCATCTTCTCCATAACAACCAGAGATCACTGACTTATCTGCAGCCATTATCAGAAAAGCCTGCATGTGCCTGCAGCCCTGGCCCAGCCCCAGACTGGGACCGGTACCATGCACAGACACCTGAGCAATCCGACCTGGGCATTTGGTAATACCCAACTGTGGCAGAATGGAGCAGTTTTCTGCCAAGCATACCAAAGTACCCCCCACCAGGTGAAGGCCAGAAGAACACTGGCATCTGGGACTTAAGTCCCTTCCACCCAAACTTTCACTGATTTTGAGGAGAAGGAATCAGAAACCCTATCAGCAGCTGTCTCAGATTCCTGGCAGGCCACAGTTCAGGTGACCCTGAAGAGAGCTGGTGACTTGCTTACTGGCCTTCCCACTCAGGGTTAGCTGACAGGCCAAAATATAGCTTGACTTCACAACCAACTGCTTCCTTGCCATTCAGGAGTGTCACCTTCTGGACCAGGTGTGGTGGTTATGCAGCTGAATGTCCCTAATGGACCCCAGCCCCCCCAGAATCCATCCATGGTCCAGTGGAGTCACTGTAAATATTACAGCATGGACCAGCGGGGGCAGAAACCTGGAGACCTGTACAATCCTGACAGCAGTCCCCAGGTGAGTCCGGCAGCCCACCTTTGTCTTGGCAAGGAGATAACCGGATTCTTCTCAGGGGGTAATCTTGGCCATTGACTGAGCAACCTCTTTTACATGTCTTTCCCTGGGCACTTTTTGGGTAGAAACGTAAGAAATAGAAGAGAGCGTCTTATTTCAAAGAACCTAAGATCTAAGGTGGCAGATGGGACACATACTTGAAAATGCTAAGAGAATACTTAAAACAGTATTTCAAAAAGTGGACATTAAAATAGCACATACTAATTAGGGATGAAGAGGGCAGTTTGAAGGGACAGTCTGACTGTGGCCGAGTTCAGCAAGAAGAGCCCCCTGAGGGAGGTGAGCTTGCAGCCAAGCCACAGGGATATCCAGAGGATGGCGTTCGGTGTTTATGTTATGTGTGCTCTTCTCTCCCACAGGCCAACGCCCAAATGAGCAGCAGCCCCGTCACATCTCCTACCCAGTCTCCAGCACCCTCTCCTGTCACCAGCCTCAGCAGCGTCTGCACAGGACTCAGTCCCCTTCCCGTCCTCACACAGTTCCCCCGGCCTGGGGGTCCAGCACAGGGTAAGGAGTCAGATTAGGGCTGACTGCTGTCAGATTCACCCTTTACATCCCATTCCCAAGTGGGGAGATGAGAAGGTAGCAACAGGCAGGGAGCTACTGTGACCGGTCATCCAGCTCTGGGGGCCAGCTCTTACTTAACATCCCTGTTTAGCGATGACACCTGCCCCTCTTTAGAGATTCCCATAGTTAACGTACTCTAGGCCTCATTTACATACTTAGTATGTACTACCGAGTAAGGTGACTGTGAGCCAGGGAAAAGAAGTCATTGAACTTTCTAATAAACCAAAGGGCTCAACTCATCAGTGCTGAGTCTGAGGCCTTGCAATATGGGGCTGTGTGAGAAATAGTGTGGTTTTAGAAGAGAGAACACTGGGTTTGGGTTAAAAGACTCAGGTTCAAATTCTAGCTCCACCACTGCGTAAGCTTTGTGATGTTGCTCGTGTTACTTAAACTTGGAACCAGAGCTCAGTTTCCTAATCCATAAAGTAGGCTTAAATCATACATAAGATGGGAATAATAATCTTATTCCCTTTCTGCCTTGGCTGTCACAGCAATATAAAAACAAGATGAGAATATGGTTTAAAAACTTTACTGTGCTCTGAATTACATTCACCAACAATAACAGTTAACACTTCTGGTGGTTAGTATGTATCAAGCGTTGCTATAAGTGCTTTCCATGTCTTATGTTCATTTAACCTTCCCAGCAACACTATTGAGGGGGAAACATACCCAATATCGCATTTCTAGTAACAGAGCCAGGATTTGAACCTAGGCAGTCTAGCTCCAAGTCTGTGTTCTTGTCCACTACAAGGTATTGCCTTTCACATGAGTCAGAAACTTGAGCCCTGGGTTTGGGGTGGGGAGAATCTATATAAGAAATAAAAGACATTCATAAAGGTCTATAGGTTTCCTCCAGGGCCTTTTGTCTATAATGGACAAAGCCCTTCTTTAAGAGTGAGGGAACCTAATAGCCCCATTTGTCTGAGATACAGCTGAGAGCCAAAGGGTTTAGGAAGAGAGACAACTCCTAAATCAATCACATGGGCACTTCCTACATAAAAAAATGTAGGAATAGTATTCATCTCCCAAGCTCTTGAAGTCTCATAAGTCATACCATGAAGCTCAAACTCCCAGAAAGCCATCTGCTCTTCCTCCCTAGGCGATGGGCGCTACTCCCTCTTGGGCCAGCCATTACAGTACAATCTGTCCATCTGCCCTCCTTTGCTCCACGGCCAGTCGACTTATACGGTGCACCAGGTAAGGGTGTCCATCAGCATTAGGGCCATCAGACACCCCCTTCTTATTTGGGCCCCTATCTCTGAGCCATCTATCTCAACCAGCTGGGTGGACAAAGGAGACAACATGGAGAGAATGGACAAAGTGGAAGGGGCATTTTCCCACTCCAGTACTCATTCATTCCTCTCACCCCACCCCATTTGTTTCTCAGTGGCTATTTGACCAATCTGACTACGTGGTGCAGTGGGGTCCTCAGGGTTGGGTGCTGCTCCTTCCTTAATCTCTCAGGCAGACATCGGGATGCAAGGCAGTCAATGTTATTTACCCAGGACAGTTGTCTTGTTAATGTTGAAGGGACAGAGTGGATTGAAGCATGGAAACCGGAGCAAGAGACAAGCACTCAAATCTGCCTCCACTGACCTGGGGACAACAGATGTTGGTGAGTGACAGGATGCTGAATCTCCAAGAGAAAGTGCTCACCTCTCCAACCCAGCTTACTAGCCCAGGACGGCTGGGAAAAGCCAGCTGAGGGTGGGGAGTGGAAATGGGACCCTTTTGTACTCAAGAGCGAGGAGAAGCTGCAGAAGTGAAGTATCTCTGTCCTCCTCACCAAGCTATTCCAGATGCTGAGGAAGATGATGGTAAAAATTGGGACTAACACAATGATGGGGGTCGCTGAGCCTGTTACCAACAGTCTTGTGGGAGTGGTCCTGACTTTAATCTAGGATGTCTACTTTTGGTAGTCCTAGACCTAATTTAGGAGAAGCTTGACAAGAGAATGTGGAGGAGTAACTCCCCCTACAGGCCTTCCATGCTAGGCATACAAGATCTGCCAGCATTTTCCCCATTTGGAACAGTCTGCTAAAACAAGGAAAGGAGGGGAAACTGACCTCCCTAGAAGATAAGAAAGAAATCTATTGGGCCAACAACCTCTGGGAAGGGAGCTATGGAACCTATGTCAGACTAGGCTATTGATTTTGTCCAAGAACATCAGCAAAAGCCATCCTTCCTTCACAGTAACAGCTCCATGTGAGAGAAATGAGGTGTGGGACTCCAGATCTTAATCCTGGGATTCTGATTCCCAGTCTCTTGCCTACATACCTAGGCTAGGAGAGAAAGGTTCCTTTGTTTCTCCTAGTTGCCCTGATCAGAGTCTGGATGGTGAGGAGTTGGGTTGACTGGGGAAGGAGGAAAGGGCTAAGTGAGAAAGGCCAGGCTTTTGAGAACATAGTGTACAGAAGTGGCCAGCTGGATACTTTTCTGCCAGGCCACTGTCCAGTCCTCCCTACTCGCTCTCACAACCTTGTCCTCTCTCCTCCCCTTCCAGTTCTGGGGCGGGTGCTGGAGGTGACAGATCTCCCTGAGGGCATCACTCGTACCGAGGCGGACAAACTCTTCACTCAGCTCGCCATGTCCGGCGCCAAGATCCAATGGCTCAAGGATGCTCAGGGGCTGCCTGGCGGGGGTGGGGGGGACAACAGTGGGACTGCCGAGAACGGCCGCCACGCGGACCTCGCTGCCTTGTACACCATCGTGGCTGTGTTCCCCAGCCCCCTGGCTGCCCAAAATGCCTCCCTTCGCCTCAACAACTCTGTGAGTCGCTTCAAACTTCGAGTGGCCAAAAAGAACTATGACCTGAGGATCCTGGAGCGAGCCAGCTCCCAATAAAGGGAGGAGGGGAAGGAACCAGCACAGCAGGGGTGACGGCAGGGTGGAGGGCATTGAGAGATCCTGACAGACCATGGACAGAGACAGAAAGGAAGGTGACAGACACTGAACTGGAGCCTGAGACAGGAGGGATGAAGATGGAAACAGACAGACACTCACACTGGCACTGGACTCCTTCTCACTCCCCTGCCATGGGTCCCCTCTTTTTCCCTGGTTGGCCTTCCTCTGCCTCCCCCTCCTTCCCATCCTCTTCTATCATTTTTTATCTCTTCTCCCACCATGAAATTAATTTCTTTCATATTTTTTGGCTAGGTAGAATTGGGAGAGTCCTGCACTCCCCTATTCTCCTATTTCCTTATCATCCCAAGCTCCCTTTTCTTTTTTGGTCTTTATGAATATATTTATATGGACAGAATTAAGAAAAACAAAATTGATTTCCCTTTTCTCTCACTTCCCCCTTCTTGTCTCCCCAAACCCCACAGAGTTAAAACTTGGGCCTTCCTCCACCCCCACTCCCCAGAACACTTGTATATTGTTTGTTTGAGGTTTGTGCCGAAGTAACAGACACAGTATTTAATTGCACATACAGATGTTTGCTGGGTATATTCACTGTAAATTTTATTTAATCTGAGTTTTTGTTTGTTTGGGGGGGGGATCATTTGGGGGGAGGTTGATTTTGTTTTTAAATACAAAAAAAAAAATCTGTCACTGGACGTCAGTCCCTGTTTCTCTGTTGCCGCCCTGGTGTGGGTGGGTGTTGGAGGTCCTGGGTAGTTACAGCCCAGTGTTGGAGGGATTTGATGTGGGTTTGGATGGCTTTCCTAGCATACGCACATATGTCATCCCATCCTAACACTGTTTCCTGCGTCCCATCCTCCTCCTTACACATACTTCTGATAGGTAGCTGGGTCTCTAACGGGACCTTGGTCCTGGGTGCTCCCAACTCTGCCACTAACTGTGGTTCATCAGGCACATCACTTCTCAACTCAACCTCTGAGTCCTTATCAATAAAATAGAGATGTGGACTGACTAGGTGACCTCTGAGTTTCCTTCCACTCTGTTAATTCTGTAACTCATTTAGGGTCCTTGAGGCTGAGCTGGGGAGGGGTAGTTGAGGTCCAGAACTGGGTTGAGATGCTGGCGTCTCATACCATCTAATCTTCAGGGAATGGAAGACTTGGGCCTTTAATCTTAAAGCCAGAGGATTGGGTTCTACCTGGCAGAAACATAAGTGGATGTTTCTTACAATATACAGCTTCATCAGTTAAACTTGCAGTGCCAAGATGCCACATTACCCAGGCATGCTCACCAGTCCCTGTCCTATGCTGCTGAAGAAAGGCGGAGAGCGGAAGTCACCTGCCTGCAAGACGGAGCTTCTCCTCTGAGGCTTCTCAAAACTAGCCTAGTTGTTCAGCCTGTCAAGCCAGTTGTTAAAGAGCCTGTAGGTACACCCAGAATCATCCAGCAGCCCCCTTTCAATCTCACCCACCCCTTAAGAGGATAAAGAGCAGCAATGACAGAACATTGCCCTGGAAATCTCTTGGGTCTGGGTAGTAGTATCTCTAGCTAGGCTCCTCTGAGGCTTGTCTGACCCAACCTCCAAAGTAATTCTTTACTTTTCACAGATACAAGGGATAAAGCAGCACTATTGCCACCTCCAAATTGCTCTCCTCTAAGATGGGAGTATCTCCTCTTTCAGCTGTGTCAGCACAGAGCAGAAGGCTGCATCCCTGTGAGATAAGAATGCCAGATATCTCACTGACCCATCAGTGCATACACTGGGGCATCAGAGGGAAAAGGAATCAGGGAATCAAAATGACTCAGGAAGTGTGAAGCTTGGCCATCCTACCACCTCTTAAGAGTTTGCAGTTCTCATGAGGAAGGGCATATTCCTTACAGACGATAAAAACTCCCTGTGTGGCAGCTATTATTACTTTCTGTCCAATGTCAACAATACCGCCTCTACCTGATCATTAGACCCTTACTCCCACAAAGCCCTCAGAAGTCAAAGCCTGGCTTTTGTAAATAGCTCTTCGAAGTCCCTTCACCCTGAGGACAAGATTTTAGAGGAATAGGGGGAAGGATGTCTCAGAACAACTGGAGGGGACAAAGCAGTACTACATGTTCTTCACTCCCTTACAGCGTGGCAGCCAGGCACCCCTCCCTCCATCTACCCACGGAGAAGGAGGTGATCTAGTCTGGCTGATAGGAGAGGTCTGAAAATTCGAATTTTCTTTTCACCAGTTCCCAGCCTTTTGCTTCTTAAAGGCTTGAGGCTAGATAAATGCTTGAGGGCATAAAAACACAAGGCCACAAGAAGACAATGGCTGAGAAGTCAAAGGCTAGTTCCTAAAGTAGGTCCAGGGAGGGTAGAACTGGGGAGATGTTTGGACCTTGGGGAAAGGGGATTGGGAAAGCTGTTTATAATGCATCTTTACCATCAGTCATCTAAAATCACCCACGTGAGTACACAGCATGAACACTGTCCCTTCCTGAATTTAGCCCATATGACCTACACACCATAGATGAAAAACCAGGAAACAGCAGCTCTGGGGGATGGGAGAAGTCAGGGTCCAGCCCTGCCCAGACCTCTCCGTGTCCAATTTCTCTGTGTCAGCTGTGCGCTCAGCTGTCCACGTTCCTCCAGCCCTGTCATTTCAGCTTTGACACCAAGGCAAGAGGCTAGGTCTACAAATACTGCCTGGGTAGCCGGCGTGAGTACAGAGGGTACTGGGGGGGCTTAGCCCCCAAGGAAGAGGACCAGTCCTTCCCCAGCGCCACCACCAAGACCAAAGGGGCTTCCTGCTCCCTCCACAGACTGTGGATTGACTTAGGGATTCCCAAACGTAAGTTGCCTGTTCTCCTTGGCATTGCCAGGACTATTCACCTCAGCTTCCCCAATCCTGAGTCTATTCAGCGTCTTCATTTCTTCCCTTGTGTGTGAGTAGTTTGGGTTTTAGGAGTGAAATTACTGTTCTACTCCTGGACAAAGAGCTAGGATTGGAGGGTGGGGTGGGGGTGGGGCCAAAGGAATGGAGTAGTAAGGGAAAGAAAGGCTCCTATTACTCTGAAAACTTAAAATAGCTGAAGCCTGAGGCAGGCTGGGAACTAGGCCCTGGGCCTCCAGGGCTCAAGAAAGGGGTAGGGATAACAAATTGTCCCAGCCCATCCCTCCACATAACAAACCTCTTGAATAAAGATCTGGGAAGGTGTGTGTCACGTGTCTCATTGCCCACAGATGTTGTGAAACAAAGGACCCGTAGGCAAGTCCCTACACCGGGCTGCCTTGAGCGCTGTATGGGGCTGCTGTCAACTCAGGGTTGCCCCTCAGGGTGGAAGGATGGGTATTGATTACAGGAACCAGTTGGGAAATTCTTTAGTCTGTTGGGCTTTTCTCTGGACCTCCATGGAATCTTCCTGTTCATAAACCCTGTGCAAGGATCTCTGTTTAACCACATTTCTCCCAAAGCCTCCCCTTCAAGGAGCACCCTACTGTGAGGGACAGGACTAAGGGAGGGAAGAAAGGCAGTCAGGGGTTAGATTTCATAGTGGGGTCCCACCTCTTGCAGGATGACAGAAAAGGAGGTGCTGGAGTCGCCTAAGCCCTCCTCCCCAGCAGAGACTCCGCCAAGTGGGGTGAGTCTGGGCCTCTGACCACAGGGTGTGGGGAGCTGGGAAGCCACTGCAGCCGTTGAAGGTGCTTGAATTGATCGCGCTTATAGGTGACTCATTTATTGTTAGAATGCTAGCCAGCACCTGCAGCCCCCAATAGCCCCTAATCCTGGGGTGTGCCCCTTACCCCAGGTTAGAAAAATGTCTAGTCAGCCTCAGCATTACCTACTGTAGAGAGCATGACAATTCTTTTAACATTGGATTTCCTTCCCTCCCTACCTCCCTTCCTCTCTCAGCTACAGCGGCTGAAGCAGTTATTCAGGAAGGAGTCTACAGGAACAAAGGAAATGGAAGTTCCCCCAGAGCCCCAGGCCAATGGGGAGGCAGTGGGAGCTGGGGGTGGGCCCATCTACTACATCTATGAGGAAGAAGAGGAAGAAGAGGAAGAGGAGGAGCCACCCCCAGAACCTCCTAAGCTTGTCAATGATAAGCCCCACAAATTCAAAGAGCATTTCTTCAAGAAGCCCAAGTTCTGTGATGTCTGTGCCCGGATGATTGTGCGTGAGTCATGAAGGGAAGTGGCCAGTGTGTGATGTTGAAGGCAGGGGACAGGGAAAGGATTTAGGAGAGGGGTGTTCGTATAGCAGACAGGCTGTGGCAAGATTTGGCTTTTAAGAAAATAACTGTTCGAGACTGCAAGTGTTGGGTCCCAGACAGAAAAGGGACCTGAGAGCTGGAGTAGCAGCAACGGGGCAAAGGGAAACGGGAACCTCACCCAAGTGTTCTTCCCTTCTCCCAAGTCAACAACAAATTTGGGCTTCGCTGCAAGAACTGCAAAACGAGCATCCACGATCACTGTCAGTCCTACGTGGAGATGCAGAGATGCTTCGGCAAGATCGTGAGTAGGCTCTGGGGAGCCAGAAAGTAGGAGGGAGGGGACATGGTGTCAGCTACCGCCTTGCCAGCCCCTCCTCAGGTCACTCCATCTACTTCCCTGCTGTTTCTCAGCCTATCTCTTAACTTCAAGAAGGGGTGAGCTCTCACGGGAGAGATGGGGTTCTGGATCCTACCTTGTTCTCTCTCATGCTTTCTCCCATCCCTTCCTACCCTACAGCCCCCTGGTTTCCGTCGGGCCTATAGCTCCCCACTCTACAGCAACCAGCAGTACGCTTGTGTCAAAGATCTCTGTAAGTGCCCCACATGGGACCTGAGGGAATGGGCAAGCCTGGACAGATGGTTTCAGCACCACCTCTAGACTTGGAAGCCAAATTCTGAAACAGGAAGATTCTACTTCCCATGATTCTCTCTCAACCTAATATTTTAGCCATCTTGGATGCAGAGTCAGTACTCCCCTGTTTGATAGCTGAGGGAGATAAAATTTAGCTAGGTCTCCACACAGTTAGCAAGAGACAGAGCCAAGACTGAAACCTTCATCTGCCTAACTTCAAAATCGGTGCTCTTCATATGCAAAACCATTTTTAGGTGAGCAAGGATTGTAGACTGTCCTCATCCTCATTACAGATTTCCAGACTCAGGGCCAGACCAAGAACTGTGGACATCCTGAGTACAATCTTAATTTGGCAACCCTGAAAAAACATGTTATTTGAAAATTTGCTCAAGATTTATTTGGAGGAGAGGCTGAATTCTGTGAGGAGCATGGGTGTGAAAAAGAAGAACCCACTGGTGGTGGCACCCCAGCTTGCACATGCCACTCAGTGGAACAAAAGCCAGCAGTTAAAGGACCACTCTACTTAGAAGGAGAATAGTGATTCTGAGCATTCCCCAACTCCCAAGCAATTTAGCAAAGTTGTCTTTTCCAACATCATATAATGGTCTGCCTGGAAGGAATGCTGGTAAATGTTTTTCTCTATCACATTACATTTCCAATTATGTCTTTAGAGCTCTTTGTAGATTGATGACCTGGGTATACCTAGCTGACCTCCCCTAATGCTGCACACACGCACGTGCACACACGTGTATCTACTCAGTCCCACCTCTCCCTTACTTAAGAGGTCTCTCTTTCCTCCAAGCCTTTCTCTGCCTCCCCAATAATTAATGTCTTCTTTCTTCTCCCATTCCCACTAGCTGCTGCCAATCGTAATGACCCTGTGTTTGAAACCCTGCGCACTGGGGTGATCATGGCAAACAAGGAACGGAAGAAAGGACAGGCAGATAAGAAAAATGTGAGCATCACACCTTCCTACTGAGATCCCTTCCAGAAACCCCGTGGAGCAGGTCCTGTCTCCTCTCTGGAAAGCTGACAAAAGCTAGGGATCCTTATTTCCTAAAATTGCACATAACCAAACAGTCAAATTTTTTCATGCAATTTTAGAGGTCCTCAGGTTAAGAACTCCTGCCATAGCGTGTTTTCTCCAGGAACTCCCTTCTGAACTTGTCAGATTAACCATCATAACAAACTGAAGCATTCCCCAATACCAGGTCCCTGGCATTGCTCAGCAACAGAAGCAAGAGCTATGTTTTGGATTTGGGGAAGAGAATTGGTCATGGCAAGTATTCAGAGAATTCCAGAATTATGTAAGGGTCCATGAAGATCTTCTAGTCTGACCCATTTATGCTATCGATGAGGGAAATGAGGCACAAAACTAGTGGCCAAATGCTTCGTTTCCTTTTGTAATAGGGTTACTACATTGGTAATTCCCTAGACTTGCATTCAGTTCTGCTGGAATTTGTTCGCATATCCTTATGTGTTTCTGGACAACCAGGATGGACTCATGTGGATAATGTTACAGGTAGATGGATTCCTAAAATTGGTTGAATGACAGTCAGTACCCAAAGGATCCTGGTCCTTTAGGGAGTGTTCAACTAGAGGGAGATTTCTGATGCCTCATAACATGATTTGGTGCTTGGTCCTCACCTGTGGAAATTTTTTTCACTGATGCAAATGAAGATATAAATGGTATATCCATTAAGTTTGTAGGAAACCTAGGAGGGAAAACTTATACACTGAATAATATATTAAAAAAAAAAATCTTAGGGCCGGCCAAGTGGCGCATTAAGAGCTGTCTTGGGACGCCAGAGGGCCCGGTTCTGATCCCACATATGAGGGCCAGTGACACTGCCCTCTACAGCTAAGATGCTGAACAACAGCTCAACCTGGAGCTGGGCTGCTGTGAGTCGCCGGCGACGGCGTAGGCTGCAGCCCCTGCTGTAGTGGGTTGCCATGGGCTACTGTGTGTAGCCAGCAGCCAGCGAGCGGCTGTCCAGAAGCCGGCGACTGATCTGCCTCGCCTGGGAAGAGCGCAATGATGGTGCCAACTTGGGCCAGTGAAGCAACATCCTCCACAACTAGACTGAAGAACAAAAGGACAGCAACTTGTCTGTTCCCCTTCCCTCAATTCCCCACCGCTGTTCCTATCCCCCAATTCCCCAATTAAAAAAAAAATCTTTAAAGGCCGGCTGAGTGGCTCAGTTGGTTAAGAGCTCGCTCAAAGGCTTGAGCTCTGAGCAACAGGGGTTCGAGTCCAGCCCGAGCTGAGCTGCCAACAGGTGGCAGGATGGCTCAGCTAAAAAAAAATAAACATAAACATTAAAAAAAAAAAATCTTAGACTGGAGACTTTCAAGATGGCAGATTAGAGGGGGAAGAAATCTTAGACTAGAAGAAAGGCCCAGAACTAATAATTTGAAATTTTGTAAGGAAAAATGTACATATCTGTTCTTGGATTAAAATTCAACTGCACAAAAACAGAACTAGAGATCTGGCCTCAAAGTAGTTGAGATGGAGGATAGGTGCAAATTAAGGATTTCTGTGGAGTGAGCAATGACTGTAAGACACTAACAATGTGATTTGGCTGCATCCAGAAAGGGTAGCACATTCAGGTTCTATTTTCTTAAGGGAATTATAAAAACTGTTGCCTATTTTTTTTCTCTTACACACTGGAGTATTTTTAAGGAGGGCAATTTGAAGGGACTGAGAATGATTAGAGAAGAAAAGACAGGAAGGACATGCCAGCTGTCCTCAGATCTTTAAAGGGGTTATATTTGTTCTGTAGTGCTCCAGAGGGCAAATCCAGACCAATAACTAAAAGTTACAGGGAGACTGACATAGGCTTAATATAGAGAATTGCCCCCCAAATTGCATGAGCTTACTTTGCAAGGTAGTGAGCTACATTCATGCATAATGGGTGATCCACCTGCCAGGATGTTTTAGAGGAAGCCTCTTCATTAGGCAGGTGGTTGACTACATATTTCCTCCAAGGCTCCTTCCAACCCTGAGATCCTATTATTCTATAGTTCTCTGGCCTGACTGGAGAGCCAGGGCAAGCATGGGTTCCCAAGACAGCATCTTCCTAACTCTGGTGCCCCCTCCAGCCTCTAGCAGCCATGATGGAAGAGGAGCCAGAGTCTGCAAGACCAGAGGAAGGCAAACCCCAGGATGGTGAGTAACACCCACCTCCATCCATAGAGTTGGAGTAGGGTCAGGGGCTCAGCAGTGGCACAGGGGATGGAGAGCCAAAGGGCATTCCAGGTTTGGAGATAATAAAGGAGGCCCTACAACAGAAAGGTAAGAGAATGAAGGCTACCTTCCAGGAGCCAATTTGTTGGTGTTTCCCATCCCAGGAAACCCCGAAGGGGATAAGAAGGCTGAAAAGAAGACAACTGATGACAAGGTGAGAATCCTTTCTCCCTGCAGGGACCTGAGTCCTCTCCCCAACCGAGTTCCAACTCTACTCAGCAAAACCTCACACTAACTCTGTGTTTCTGTCACCTTTAACCTGCCTTCTCCACCACCTCACACAACCAATACACTCCTCTTCGTTCAGGGACCTGGGAGATAGATGGAATGTAGTGTGTCTGGAGAATGCCTCTACCTGCCTGGGCTCCTGCCCCTCAGTGTGAGACAGAGGAGCCCTGAGATTCACCACCCACTCGCTTTTACCCTCCAGAACAAGCAACCTGGTTTCCAGCAGTCTCATTACTTTGTGGCTCTCTATCGGTTCAAAGCCCTGGAGAAGGATGACCTGGATTTCCCGTGAGAGGCCTTAGGATTGGGGTGGGGGTGTACTGGGAGTGAAGAGGAGAGAGCCCAGCTCCCTACGGAAAAGGAAGGAGGGAGGGAGGATACTCAGGGCTTGGAGCCTATTGGGGCTGGACCTGGGTACAACCAGGGGACTGGATATGTGAATAAGGCCCCAAATCTCAGAGGCCCCTGCCTTCCTCTGCCAGACCTGGAGAGAAGATCACAGTCATAGATGACTCCAATGAGGAGTGGTGGCGGGTAAGAGAAATGACTGAGGCTAGGGTGGGACATGGGTTGAGTTTAAAACCTAAGATTAAGAGACCGATTCTCCCTGCTGTCTCCTCAAGGGGAAAATAGGCGAGAAGGTCGGATTTTTCCCTCCAAACTTCATCATTCGGGTCCGGTCTGGAGAACGTGTGTACCGTGTAACGAGATCCTTCGTGGGGAACCGCGAGATAGGACAGATCACTCTCAAGAAGGACCAGGTAGCTCTGGTGCCCCAGGCCCGGAGGCTCCTCTGCAAACCGCACTCCTTGCAGATCTTAACCCATTAATATATGGGCTTCCATAACTCTGGGCTCCCCTGCTCGCCTCTCCTACGTTTTCCCTTGATTCCTCTCCTCCCTAATCCTTTAATCCTTTAGATCGTGGTGCAGAAAGGAGATGAAGCCGGCGGCTACGTCAAGGTCTACACCGGCCGCAAGGTGGGGCTGTTCCCCACCGACTTCCTAGAGGAGATTTAGGTATGCCGGCGTCAGCTGGCCGGAGATACCTGTGCCCCGTTCTGGGCAGGCCCAGTGGAAGTTGAAGAGGAAAGGGGCGAAAGCAACTACATGGCTGGGTAGGGGAGGGTGGGAAGGGCCGCCTGAGCGTGACGGGGCTCCTGGGAAGGGACTGGTTCCCGCTCCCTCCCCTGACCTACGGCTTCGGATACTGATCCAGAGCAGCCTCTCCAGCAACCCCTCAGGTTCAGCTTTTGAGAACTGGAAAAAGAAGAATACGTCTCCACTAGGAGGCGCCCTGGGGGTGCCGGGGTGGGTGGGAGGCAAACTGTTGAATGTTGTGGATTTATTAAAATTTTGACAAAAGTTAGAAAAGTTTGTTCTTTAACTGGGGCCAAGGAGAGAGGGAGGGGAGCGCCTACGAAGGAGTGGAGCATTCCCACTATCATCCGGTAACCCGAAACCCACCTGGGCTGAGGCTGGTGGGAGGTGAGAAGACAGGTGCGTCCGCTAGGCGAGGCCTCTGTAGTCAATGAAGAAAGCGGAGCTGGGCTGGGGTCACCGCCCCCGCACCCCTGCAGCTGGGAGCAGGATCCTGTAGCCGGGTAGGTCCACCTAGCTTTTGGCGATTTTGCCGCCGGCAGCCCCTGCATTTCGGAAACTGGCTCAGTGCCGAGCTGGGCCGCCAGGGGGCGGTGCAAGATCTCGGTTGGAGAGCGAGGGACAGGGCGGGGGTGGGGGGTGTGAGGAGAGAACCAGAGACACGGAGCCCGAGACCCTGGGCCTGGGAGGGGGTGGGGTGCGTGCCGTCTCCATGGCAACACTTCCTCAAGTCCTCCGGGAACCTAGCGTGCAAGGCCGGGGGGCCTAACCCCTCCCGCGCGGCCCCCGCCCCAGCCCTTGGCGACAGGTACCAAGTGAGAGGGCGCCGGGCAGACAGCTAACCGACTCACGCGGAGACCCCCCCTGCGGCGCGCCGTATGCAAATATTGTTATTTGCATATGTAGATATGCAAACGAACCGGCCCTGGTCATGGTGGCAGGTGGCGGGTAGCGGGAAGGTGTAGGGAAGGGAGCTGAAGGAGACGAGGAGTTTGGGGACCTGGGAGGCAGCCTGGGGTGGTCGCCTGAGTGGGGAAGGCGGAGGGTCTTGAGCTTGATGGCGGATGGGGGAGGGTCAGCCTGACCAGCAGGAGATCCTCTTCTGCCCGTTGTCTGCCAGGCCTGAGGTTGGCACCGCCTAGCAAGGTTGGCAGCGGGAGCCCGGGCACCATCTGCTGCTGGCGGGGGGAGGACAGAGGCTCAGCTGGGCTGGGGAAGAGGAGGGCCCGGGACGGGCGCTCCCCACTTCCTTCCAGAAGGCTGAGGCGAGGTGTGGGGGTAGAGAAGCACATAAGAAGACTCGCTGCAGAACTGGGTTCTGTATCCTGTTCCCTTTGCCCTTGAGTGTCCTGGACTCCTGGGGGGACGACGGGGTCATAAAGGAAAACTCAGACAGCCCCCCTTTAACCATGCCTGGTTTGGAATAGGAGCAGATCATAAGCTCCCCTCCACCACCACACACAAATCAAGCCTTTTGCCTCCCTGCTTCCTCCGGACCCGCCTACCACGAATGGGGGAGGTGGCTAGGGCTTGGGTCGCATCTCTTCGTCAAGCTGTCTGAGGGACTCAAAACCAGAGCCCCCCAGATCCTCGAGTCCCCCCACACACACACACAATGCTGAAGCAAAAGCAATTTACTGGCTCATTGGGCGGCGATGCTGGTGTGGGGGTACCGAAAAGCATGAGCGCGGCTGTTCTTCCCCCCATATACTCGAGGGGCACCCCCCCTTCCCCGCCTTGCGGAGCCGGCAGCTGTCCCTAATTAGAGCGGCGGTTTAATTGGATTTATCAGCAGTTAATAGGAAATTAAGCAAAAGGCCCGAGAGAGGGAGGGCGGCAGGAGGAGCGGAAAGGCCGGCTGTGCTGAGATCGAAGGACGGGTGCTGGGGTGCCAGAGGTGGGGACACAAGACCCAGTATCGCGACTGAGCCCCGTAGTCACGTCCTCCCCCCAGTACTTGTCCGCTGGTTGATCCCTGGCCCTCCCAGCCGAGAGCAGGTCTCAGGAGAGGGAGGTGGGAGCGACAGCGACCCTGTGTGAGCCCCCAGAGACCCCAAAGCCCCTACTCCCGCAAGCAGCCGACTGGGTGATGGATGATGCTGCCTCACACTGCAAAGGTCGTAAGTCTGGGCCAAGGAGCAGACTGAATCGAAAATAGACTGGAGGAGGGGCCGGGTTACTAGGGTCCAGGACACAACCCGCACTCTACCCCTCCACAGTGCCCATCCAACTCTTAGCAAAGAAAGTGCCCCTTGAAGTCGGAAGACTGGGCAGCACAGAGGATGAGACCCTTACCGCTATGGAGTGGCCCTCTCTTCCACCCCCTACCTCGTGGCTGTGTTGGGGATCCTGGGAGTCTGCCTGTGCAGCCACCTATGTGAAGCCACTCTATGTCTCCTGCTCTTCTTCGCAACTACTGGGGTTGGGGCTGGCTGGGTCGTCTGAGGCCAAAGTGGTCCAAGGCCTGCACCACGCGCTCAGGGGTCCAAGGAAGGAAGCTTGCAGGCAGTCAAACAGGGTGCAGGGTCAACAGCCCCAGGTGCCTCTTGTCATCAGGACCTCATTATATGGTTAAGCTAACAGGGCCTGCTAACAGGGACCCCAGCGACCTCTCTGCCACAGTCCACCACGACAGGGCACAGGAAGCAACTTCTGCATATGTGTGGGTGTGCCAACCTCTGAATGTGTGGAGGTAGGTGAGTCTCTCTGTGCCTCTGATAATATGGGTGTCTATGCCCCTAGTGTGTAGGGTGTGTGTCCCAAGTGTGTGAGGTGTCTATCAGAGCCCCAGGTATGGTGTGTATGTTGGTGTGTGTGCCCCTGGTGTGTGAGTGATGTATCTGTCAGTCTTGTCCCCATTCTGCCCCCCCTCCCCCGCTCCCAACCGCTATGATTTTTGTCTGTCTAAGCCCCTGGGTGTCAAGGTGTGCATATGTGCTTTGGCATGTCTGTTCATTCTTCATGCCTGGGTGTGCCCGGGCGTGTGGGCATTTCCGTGGGTCTCAGCCTGCAGGACTGTGTATGTGTGAGAATCAGTAAGAGCCTCTGGTGAGTGTGTGTTGCTCTGGCGTCTCCGCCCGCAGGTGTGTGTGTCACGGTGACAGTGCGTAGGCGTGTGCCTGGGTGTGAGCCGCAAGGCGGCATGTATTCGAATGACAGTGTGACGCACGCGCGCTCGCGTGCGTGTGTGTGTGCGCGCGCGCGGGCGCGCCTGGGTGAATCTCCCGCCCCCTCTTCTTCCTCTCCCATTTCTATTCCTCTCTCCTCTCAGGGCGGGCTTGGCTCCGCCGTCCGCATCATCTCCATCCATTATTGAAGAAACAGCCGCGTCCGCTCCAATCACATCAACACCCCCGCCCCCTCCGTTCTTTTCGCCCCGCGGCCCCTCTGGGTGTTGGGAGGCGGGGAGCCGCGGCTCGGCGGGGGCACCCGGCAGAAGCGAGCTCATGACCCTGTGCCCCGAACCGGGCCAGGCACCAGGACGCCAGGGTCCGGGCGGAGAGCTCTTTGCATAAACAGATGGCGCGGGCGTCTTTGTCTCGCTTGCTCGTTCGCTCTCCGCGCGGCTCCAGGCTGCGCGGCTGTCTGGCTGATGCAATCATGATCATTTCAGAGCCTCGGGACCAGGCGCCCTTAATAGAGGCAGAGGGGGTCAGGGGAACCGGGGATCCAGAGCAGATGCTGAGCACTGTGTTCCCTCCCGGGCGCCCCCTCCACGCCCCACAGCTGCAGAGGGAAGACGGAGGCCGAGGTGACGGGCATGTGGAGGTGACCAGGAAGGGGACCCCAGGCAGTGCCTAGAGTTGTCCCTAGGCTGTCCCATTGGACTGCTGCAGCAGCAGCACCCCCCTCCCCCCCAGGCAGCAAGCCAGAGAATAGGAATAGAACGAGAATGGGAGGGGGGAGACAGAGATAAAGACAGTGACAGAGAGGCATTTGTAAAGAGAGACCAAGCGAGGTAGAGAGATGTAGAGGGAAGGAGAGACGAACACAGAGAGACAGAGAAACATGCAGAAGGACAAAGCCAGGTAGAGAGCTGCAGAGAAATAGACACAGCCAGAATGATAAGGAACAGAGAGACACAGACACATACACAGAGACAAAGAGATAGAGAAACAGGCAGGGGTTGAAGAAGAAAGAGGCAAAAAGAAGGGCAGCCACAGACAGAGGGCAGAGGGCAGTCACAGGGCGAACACAGAGCCCCAGGCATCTGGAGCCGCCCAGCCTCGAGAAAGGAGTCAGCTTGAACTTGGGAGTGCCCGAGGCTGGAGAGGTGGGAATTTCCGCGTCCCCTCCACGCACCCTCCCGGCCCACTACGGGACCCACTGCTTTGGCCGCGGGAGTGGCAGGAGTGGTGCGCCGGGCGGGGACCCACATTAGGTGCTGACTTACCTGCGGGAAAGCCGTGGGGCGTAGAGCCGACGCGACACGACAGGGGGCGCCCGAGGCATCTCCTCTGAGAGCTTAGGAGCAGCTCGGCCTCCAGGGGGCGCCCGCGCCCACGGCCCCTGCTTGCTGCCTCCAACTTGCTGCGCCAAGTCTTGCTGCTTTGACGTGCGTCTCCGCCTGCACCGGGAATAGTGTCCTGCGCGATATAGCGTTCAAAATCCAGCCCCCGATGGATCCCGCCCGCCCCCGGCCTCGCCTATTCCTCAGCTAATGACTTCTGCTATCCCTCACCCGCTGGGTCAGTGTGACCTGGGTCCTTCTGGTGGTAAAAGTGGGGGGAGATGGGCACAGATGGAATTTGGAACCCAAGGAGTTCTGTGTCCCAGCTCGGTCCCCAGAGACCACGATCCAGAGATGGGGGCGGGGCTTAGAAATAGGGTCACAGAGAAAGGGTCAGCGACTGGCACCAGAAGTAGGTTAAAGATCAAGGAGAGGCCAGAGCGGAAGTAATCCTGTAACAGGGAGCTCATAGAGCTGGGCAGAGGTCCAAGGCAGGAGGACCCGCGACACCTCTAGGAAAGGAGCGGGGCGGAGGGTCTGGGACGCGCCAGGCCCGGGTCACCTGAACTCAGAAGAAAAGACACAGGAAAACGTGTGAGGGCCGAAGAAGCAAAGGGGCGTGGCGCAGGGGCCAGACGTCCCTGTCGACGTCCCGGTGCCCCAGCTGTGCCACACAGAGCCAGATGTGCAGCCCAGCTGTGCGGCCCCTGGAGCGCAAGCCCTGGCATTGTAGTCCCAGAGAGACTGGAGGGCTGGGGGGCACGGTGACAGGACACACCACTCCCTGGCCCGGCCCGGCCCTGGAGGCGCGGGTGCTCAGGGAGGGCCGGGCTCTGCGCGGCTCCAGGCTCTGACATCCCGTCATTCTCCCTCCCCCGCCCCCCACACACGTCGCAGCAAGTCTCTGTCTCTTTGTTCTCGCCGTGTCTCTGACACTTTATCTCATTATCCGCCGGAGGGAGGCGGAGAGCGCGGACCCCGCAGCCTAATTACAGCCGAGCTTGTCAGCGCAGGGGACAGGAGAGGTATCAGCACCGGGGGAAGGAATGGGGCCCTCAGAAAGGGCCCCCTCCCTCCCTATACTCCCGAGGGGCCCAGCGGTGGGTGCACAGCTCGCCTCAGCCCAAGCTGCCACAGGGCTCTGGAAGGGAGAAGTGGGGAGCTCCACAGAACCCGGCTGCCCAAGGGGCAGCAGGGAGGGAGAGAGGGTAGAGGCTAGCACGGGAGTGGGGAGAGGTGGTTAGGGCTGGCTTCTGGGTGCCTGCGACCCAGTTCCCTAAAGACGGTGGCAGTGAGCCTTCTCATCCTAACAGCATAGCATACACCTGAGTTGGCTGCGGACATGGAGGCAATCGCTCTACACTTCAGTTTCTGTGTCTTGTTCTCTTTCCTCCTCAATATCTTGTCTTTCCTTGTCTATTTCCCTCACTCTATTCTCTTCCTCTCCATCACAGCCAGAGTCATAGATTGGCTCCACCTTCACCCCTACCCGAGGTAGGCAGGGCAAGCAAGTTTCTCAAGCCCCCAAACTTCACTGAGTGACTTACACTGTCCTGAGTCAGGTTTAAGATACTCCCCGTTCCCCTGGCCTCCTAGTACTATTCCAGGCCAGTCACCACACAGCTTGGATAAACCACCAAGGGCTAGAGGGGCTGGGGCGGCTTTGGTTCTGTTGGCCTGTCTGTCCTCCTCCTCCTTCCACTACACTGAGGAGGGGACAGAACCAGGGCCTCCAGGAGCTGCTAGATCCTGGATGGCTCTAAGAGTGTCAGGGAAGCGTTGCAGATGCCTGTAGCTCTTTTCTGGTCCCACCTGTGAACACTCCACACCTGCACTTTGCTGGAGGTCTGTCTGTCTACCTGTCTCATGCTGAGTTCCTCTCCCTACCTCTGGATCCTCTCTCAATCAGAGCCTGGGTCAAAGCCCTGTGAGGCCTCTCCTTCAGACCAGCCCAGAGCCCCAAGTATGATGGTATCCTGTGGTCCAGGGTGTGGGCATCTGGAGGAGAGCGTGGAGGAGCAGAAATCCCTCTGCTCCCCAACAATTCTCCTCCCCGTTCTGAGCCTGGAACTGTGGGAAAAAAGACAGATGGGCGGGGATGGGGTGAATCGGAGGCAGCCGGCCAGGCTGGGCAAGGTTGGGCTGGGCTGACCCCTCCCCAGCCGGGGGCGGAACCCCAGCAGGAGCGAGGGAGCCCAGCCGCTGGAGAGGATCAGACGCTGGAGAGGCGTTATGGCGGGAACTAGTCTCGGGGCCCGCTTCTACCGGCAGATCAAGAGACATCCCGCGGTGAGTTCGGTCCCCAGAGCCACTAGTTCTAACTCTCTCGCTGTTCCAGCGACCCCCAAATATCCCAGTCCCCTCCTCTTCCCTAGTTCCCCCAGTTTTCCTAATCTTTAGAGTATCTTAAACTATCCCTGCAGTGTGCTTCCATGCCCCCTTAATCTCCCTTCGACAGGCTCGCTTTGGGGTGAGGGAGACTAAGACGGAAACGGTGGTGTGGTTGGTTCCAGGTCCTCTCTCCCAGAAGGGAGGGACCGCCAGCCCCGGGGCAGGGGTGGGGGCGGACCGGCAGGAACGCTTGTAAAGGGCTACTGAGAACTGCGGGGAGGGGGCTGACTCTGAAAGTGCCCTCTGTCTTCCCCACAGCTCATCCCGATGATCGGCTTCATTGGCCTGGGCATGGGCAGCGCTGCGCTGTACTTGCTGCGGCTTGCCCTGCGCAGCCCCGACGTCTGGTAAAGGCCGAGCTTTGGACGCTGGCGGGGTCCTGGGTGGGGGCAAGATGGAGCAGGAACGCATGGACCTCTCGGGAACAGTGGGGATGGGTGGTCCTAGAGGAGATCCCGTGGCAGCCCACTTGCCACTGCTCCGCCCGGCAATCTCGGGGCTGGAGCGTGCTCCTGACCAGGGAGGGCCCGCCTCCACTCAGGCCCACCGGATCGCTCTTTCCTCGGTGGCTCGCGCGACTGGGCCCACTTTGGGCTGCGGACCCCGCCCCGCTCCAGGCCCTGTTGCCATGGCGACGCTGTTCTGCCGGCAGCTAGCAGCCTTTGGGTACCTCGATCTCCGCGCCCAGAGGTTTGGGGGTGTGGCAGGCGAGCAGTTGGGGCGCCGTTGGGGCCAGGATGGCGCGGAGACACCACTCTCGGCCAGAGGCGGCGGGGGTGGGGGTGGGGGGTCCTCCGCACGCATCGGGAGCACCCACTGCGTTGTCAGAATTTGAGACACATCACGGAAAACCCAGCCCCTGGGGATCTCTGCCTGATTCCCACTGCTCTGCTCTGCCAGTTTGACCTAGGGTGGCAAGGAGCGTACGTGAATCCCTGGGCAGGTTGTCATTCTGTCACGCGGCCTCACGCAGACAATGGTGACAGCCTACTTGCCTCCCTTGTCAGCAACCGCTAATGTGTCGCCTCCCTATCAGTCTCTGGGAAATGGGTTCCTCACGGTCGGAGAGGGGTACTGGCGTAGAGTCAGAGACCCTGGGTTTTACCTTAGCCTCCAGAGTCCTAACTCCCAGAAAGGAAACCGTAGCCCTCCCAACTCCCTCTCCGCAGCTGGGACCGAAAGAACAACCCGGAGCCCTGGAACCGCCTGAGCCCCAATGACCAATACAAGGTACCTCTTGGTAACTCTAGGGTTGCACCTCCATCCTCTCATCTCCTGGTCCCCGGACGACCCCTCGGTACCCACTCCCCACCCCCAGCCCCCGCAAAGGGAGGTCTGGGGCACTCAGTGCAATTCTCCCCAATAGTTCCTTGCAGTTTCCACGGACTATAAGAAGCTGAAGAAGGACCGGCCAGACTTCTGAGCCTGGCTGATGTGAGCATTCCACTTAACCACCGTCGGCCAGCCTCCTCATTTCTTCCACTCTGCTCCCAGGCCCCAGAGCACCCCTCTAGCCACCCTGTCCAGCTCCTGCATACACAAACCCGGTTCCCACACGGTGGGGAGGCGGCCCCACCCCCACCCTCTTCCCTTACTCCCTGCAGCGGAAGCACCTCTGACCCTCAGCTTGAGTCCCACGCGGGGGAGGAGTTAGGAGGGTGGGCAGCAGCCGCTTTGCCCCGCTAACGGGGCCTTGGAGGGTGTGGCACTGGCTACGTGTTGAGCGTGGCTAACGTGAGCCAAGAGCAAGCAGGGGCCTCTGAGTGCCAAGCGACGTGGCAGGCCGCACATTAGCTCAGGTTACAGGCGCCAGCCCAGGCGGAGCTGCTCGATTGGGCTCGTCGCCTGCTGCCCAGCCTGCCCTGGAGGAGGCACCTATGCTCAGGGAGGAGCAGCTCGCTCCTTCCTCCCTGTGCCCAAGCTGGCTGCCTCCCTACAAAACAGGCACCCCCTCCTGCCTCACACCTGAGCCTCCCCGCCATCCTGCCCCTCCCTTGCTCCCTTCTGTCCCCTGGGATCAAACAGAAGCAGCCGTGGGCAAAATACAATTTCATTTAACAAATTGAATTTGCTGCGCCTGCTAATCACGTCTGGTGTCGGCTCTGATCAGAGACAGGGAGAGGAGGCTGCAGCCCCAGGGGTCCTTGTGGAGGTGGTAGGAGGGAAGGGAGGAACACACAGAAGGAGACAAATCACCACCTGGCCCAGGGGACCCCTCCCACAGTAATAGCAGCTCAGGTCAGGTTAGCATTTTATTAGATAAAAAAAGAAGGGAGGGTGCCTACCCACCCCTTCCTCTGGCTCATAAGAGTAACTCCCCATCCCCAAATAAGAGTAGGGAGTCTATAACACTGAGATAATGGGAGAGGTCAGGGCAGAAAGCCCTTGCCTCCTTTTTCTAAGTCTTCTTACAAAAGAAATCTTCTGGAAAGGGAACTACATCTGGCTCTTCTGCTAAGTGGGAGGCCTTCCCTCCTCCAGCAAAAAAACTGGAAGATAGGTATCCCCCACCACTGGTCCATATAGGGAGGAGAATAATTTCCATCTGTGGGCCTCATTTCCTTGGTGCCTTCAGTGCTCTTCAAAACCAGGCATGGGGAAAGCCCTGGCAAACTGCTCCACCCGCCGTCTGAGGTCATCCAGTCGATGTCTTGTTTCTGCATCCTGGAGTAGGAAGGATTTGAAATCCTGGAGTTTGGCTAGAGAGGGGTGAGAAAAAAAGCGGTCAGAGCTTGTAGGGAAGGCAGTTAGATCACTGGGGAAGGGCAGATAGTGAATATAACTGGCTGGCCTCACCTGTCTTGCTCTTCACCTCCAAGCCGATGTTGACGCCTTCATCTATAAAGTCCACGACTCTTCGGAAGTCATCTTCACGAAACTGTCGAGAGGTCAAGGCTGGGGCCCCTGGAAGAGATAAAAAAGGATTAGCATAGGCCAAGCCTTGGCAGCTGCCCTTACCCTCCTGGAACCCCAGGTCTCACCAAGCCGAAGGCCCCCCGGTGTGATGGCACTTCGGTCTCCAGGACAGGTGTTCTTGTTGGCTGTGATGGATACAAGCTCCAGCACCCGCTCAGCCCGAGCCCCATCCAGGCCCTTGGGCCGCAGGTCCACCAGCACTAGGTGGTTGTCAGTGCCACCTAAGGGGGGGGGGGACAGTAAACGGGGAGTGGTGAGTCCTGGGCCTCTGCCTGAGGCTACAGAGGCTCTCACCCACCCCCCTGGCTCACCAGACACCAGTGAGTAGCCTCGCTCTAGCAGGGCATCAGCCATGGCCCGAGCGTTCTTCAGAACCTGTAGGGTGTACTCCCGGAACATGGGGGTGCCAGCCTGGAGATGAGACAGCAGCACCTGGGATCCCAAGTCCTGCCCTTTCTGCTCCTCCTCCCCCAGCAAAGTTGTGACCCCAGCCTTGAAGCCTCCCCTCCTGGCACTTTCCTTTTAACATCTCCAACTTCAATGAGTGAGGTGCAGGGTCTGAGCACTCAAGCCAATGCCCACCCCGCAACAAGAGTAGGCTCCCCAACCTGCTTTAGAGCCACAGCCACTGCAGCAATGGCATGGTTGTGGGGGCCTCCCTGCAGAGATGGGAATACAGCAAAGTTGATTCGGTCTTCAAATGTGTAAGGGATCTCCCGGCCAGTCTTGGGGTCCACAGACTGCACCCCCTTCCGGTAGAAGATGAGTCCTGACCTGTGTGGGAGGAAGGTGGTCAGAATCTAAGCTGAAAAGAAAGGGCAAGGGATGGGAAGAACAGAGGAGTCCACCTCAGTTGTGCTCAGTGTGCTGGACTCCAGTGGTGGAGGGGAGCAGCCCCCCCTCCCACTCCCAAGGCCCCTGGTGGGGAATTGCCACCATGGGAAAGAGAAGAACTGTCAGACTGGGTAGGAGTCTTCAGGTGGAATGAGTTACTCTCAGATCCAGCCCAACAGTGCCCCAGGAAGAGGGCGTGAAGGCGGGGAAATGCAAGGCCTGACCTCAGGGGAGCCTGACCTGGCCCCTCGAAGGGTCTTGTGGGTGGTAGTGGTGACAACATCTGCATGTTTGAAAGGTGAGGGGATCACCTTGCCGGCCACCAGGCCACTGATGTGGGCCATGTCTGCCAGCAGGTATGCCTTGACTTCATCACACACCTGGGCAGGTAGAGACATGCCTCAGCCTGGGAAGGGTCCAGACAGGTCTGCCCAAAGCTGCCCCTCCTCCAAAATCTCCACACCACCCCTTGGGGAGTGGTCAGCATACACCCTAGCCCTCCACCAACCTTCCTCATGCGGGCATAGTCAATGAGGCGAGCATAGGCGCTGGTGCCAGCTATGATGAGCCGCGGTCGGAAAAGTCGAGCAGTGATTGCCAGCTGGTCGTAGTCAATAAGGCCAGTTTGGGGCTGGACAGACAGACAAAAAGCTTAAGCCCTGAGAAGAACGGAGAGCAGTTCACTCTCCTCCTTCACCCTGAAGACTGCCCAGGGCTCCAGCCTCTTGCTTTCCCCAGGATGGGGGTCCCCAGAGCCTGAGCAGCTTCCTCCCCTCGCTCTAGAGCACTCACATTCAGCTTATAGGGCATAGACTCAAAGAAGATGGATGTGGCTGAGATCCGCTTGACATCAGACATATAGCCATGGGTGAGACTGGGAAGGAAGGAAAGTAAGGCTTTAACATGGAATAACATCTAGCCTTAACCATTAACTCTCCTGCCCCATTGCAAAGGCCTGTCCCTGGAACACCGCTCTTAGCATTGCTCTGTACACTGTGCTGAGCACTGGTTACTGGGGTCTTATCTTCTTCCTGCACTGTAACTTGCAGGACAGGAAGTGGACTGTTCCATATGCATGGCACATGGTAGGTGTTCAAGAAATAACTCCTCTCCCGTGCCAGTAGCGCCCACCGAACCCACCCCATCCATACTCACTGGCCCCCATCAGGCAGGTCCAGCCCCATGATTCGGTCGTGAGGTTGCAGAAGGGCTGTGTACGCAGCCAGATTGGCTGGGGACCCAGAGTAGGGCTGGACATTGACTCCCCATTGTGCAGGATCCAGGTCAAAGGCCTCCAAGGCCCGGCGCTGACACAGCAGCTCAATTTCATCAACTACCTCTGCTCCCCCATAATATCTGCCATGAGAGGGGGGCATATCAGGGCACAGAGAAAGGGTTCCACCATCCATCCCCCCTTGATCAGCAGCAAAGGACAGGGAAGGCCACTCCTCTAAATGTACTGGGAGGGTACAGGCAGGTATCCCCCACTGGGAACACCATCCCTGAGGCTGCCCTCTAGCCCTCTGGTGGCTATCCCTCACCTCTTGCCAGGATAACCCTCCGAGTACTTGTTGTTCAGACAGGACCCCAGGGCCTCCAGCGCAGCTCGGCTGCAGAAGTTCTGGTGGGGGGGAGGCAAAGAAGGTACTGAGCCCTTCTCCCTGGACCCCTACAGCCCACCCTGCTAGAGTCCTGGGCTGGGAGGAGCTGGGCTCTACAGAAAGCTGTGCATTCAAGGGGTTCCTTGCCAGGCCTGGCGCAGGGCAGGGAGGCAGCATCCCCAGAAACCCAGCTGCCATGATAGGTCTCCCCAGCAAGGCCACCGTCCACCTGTGCTTCTAGGTTCCAGGTTCCTCTTTTCTCTTGGGAGGGACCAGGCTCGACTGTAGGGTCCTGGAAGGCTCTCTAATGCCCCCATCCCATAACCCAGACTGGCCCTGCCTTTGCTTCAGAGGAAAGTAAGAGGAGGAGATAATGCACAGCAGGAAAGCACTGAGTTTGAAAGGGAGATCTGGACAAACAGCAGTACGATGACCTGCTACTTCCTGCACCCAAGGTGGGCCAAGCCCTGGGCCCCCTCCCCAGGTTCCACCTCTGAGGCAATGAGTTCCAGGCCACGACACTGCCTGTCCTTCTCCCTCTGCAGCAGATCCCACATCTCAGGGTCACTGTCTGACAGACTCTCCTGGCCTGTCCAGCCCTTGGTTGCTTCGCCAGTCTGGGTCTGGGCTGCCTCACTGTGTTGGCACCGTATGGCCATGCTGACCAGCTGACCACATCGCCGCAGAGGCTAGGAGAAGAAAAGCCAGAGTCAAATAAAAGCATCCAGACGAACATCACCCAACAACTCTCAGCCATGCTTATTGGGCCCTCTGGCTCCAAACCCAGCAGCCAGCTGTCCAGCCTGCCTGTTCCAGTTTTCACCACCCCACGTTCAAAAGCCAGTTCTAGAGCCAAGACTGAGATCAATGTCCAGGGGGTGGTTCTGGTTCAGTCCATTCACCTCACCTCAGAATCTTCCTCCACCTTGGCCCATGAACCACTCAAAGCTACAGGGCAAAGTCTGTCTTCTGAAAGCTAGAGGTTCCACAACCTCCCCACCCACAGGAACAGAAAGGTCTTCCCTGCAGGGCCTCCATAAACTGATTCCCCAGTCAGGGGGCAAGGAAGCCAAGTTTCAAGGGATTAAGACAACAGGCCGTAGAGGTGGCTTCCAGAACAATGGAAATAGCGGAGTAGACCTTTAGCAATACCTGGGGAAGAGGAGTGGGGGTGGGGGGGGTCTACTGGCAGGAAAGCCAAAACCCACATCCTGTCCTTTGCCCCGCCCCCTTTCCACCTCCTTCCAACCCAGACCCCTGATGCAAGCAATGGGACTCGATTGCATCATCTACAATGGCTCAGAGCTGGCAGGAAAAGACTCAGCTTCAGCCTGCCTGTCCAGGCCGGAAACCCTGCTCGTTCGCCAGCATAGGATCCACGGGTCATCCGGTGCAGTTCTCTCCCCTAATGCCACGTGAAATGGATGGTCACAAGGCCCTGGGGCATCTGGTTACCGGAATGGGGAGCCCCCAATTACCTCACGCGCACCTGGGGGTCTCAGGGAATCCTAGTTGCGCCTCCGATCCTGGATGACCCAGACCATGTGCGTGGAAAAGCCAGGAGAACCCGAATTTGTGGGTGGGGAACTACGGTAGGAAGGGAACTTACTTCCTACTAGTCCCCAGCCTCCGAGCCCCATTCTTACCCGAGTCATTGTCCAGAGCAAAGAGAAGGACAGCATCGCAACCTGAGGTCGCACGAGGTACACCCACCAACTCCGGCCGCGGGAACCAGGGGGTCAGAAAAAGACTGAGCCAAAAGCGCGTGCGCAAGAAGAGCAGCCCGGGAAGCCACAGGATTAAGGGGAGGGACCTACGCATGCGTGAGGTGACACCTTTATGGTCTTCTGGGAATTGTAGTTTTTCCACCTTTCTTCCGCTTCATTTCAAGTGTGTAGCCCCAGGGTCAGAGGCTCCTGCTAGAAAGTAAAGAGATGCAGTGCCACCACATCTCCACACTGTCCTGGAGCTCTTCAGGTTGTTTTTTTTCCCCTGTTGTCCAGACAACAACCATTTATTGGATACCTACTAAATACCTAGCATTATTAGGCACTCTGAGAAATACAAAGACTCCTATACGAGCTAAAGAGCCATGATGCACTGGAAGACACCTTGTTTGGAAGGGTGAGAGACATAAATTCAAGTTTCAGCTCTGGGATTAACTAGCAAATTAGCCTATCTGAGCCTCAGTTTCCTCACTTGTAAATAAATAATAACATGTGGTGGGATTAAAAGAGGCTTTGTATGTAAACATGCTCTAGGATGGATTGTCATCCCCTCCTCCAGCTTACAAAACCTGCTTCCTCCTTGGCCTTCTCCTTCTCCTGAGATATCTGGGAGCTGAGTGAGATACCCCCTCCTGTCACTGCAGTTGTTGAATTTTATTACCTGTACCTCTTGCCACCCTAGCAGTGAGTGAACAATCTTTATATTCCCAGGGCTATAGATCCTTGGAACTGGAAGGGATCTTCCTTTTAACCTGATTTCCTCTGGACACATACTTTGGAGGAGGGACTCACTGACCCCTCCAGGAGTAGGTTCCCAAACCGGGGCATCAGAACAAGTTGGGGGCCGGCCGAATGGCTCAGTTGGTTAAGAGCTCGCTCAAGAGTTTGAGCTCTGAGCAACAGCGGTTCGAGTCCCAACCTGAGCTGAGCAGCCGCTGAGCTGCCAACAGGTGGCAGGATGGCTCAGCTAAAAAAAAAAAAGCATTATCAGAACAAGTTGGGAAATATAACTATATGAGTGTGGAGCCTCTCCTCAGAGGTTCTAATTCAATGGATCTTAAAGAGTAGTGGGCATTTGCCCACTCATGCTGACACACAACTGAAACCCCTCCTCAGTAATTCTACAATAATAAGCAGTGAACCTCACATAGCAATATTGCCACACATAGCAATATTACACATTTATTCATTTATTTTTATTTAAAGTTCATTTTTATTTTTTTGTAATTGGAGAACAGTGTTTTTTTCCAGGACCCATCAGCTCCAAGTCAAGTAGTTGTTTCAATTTTGTTGTGGAGGGCTCAGCTCAGCTGCTCATGTGGGGATCCAACACAACCTTGATGTTGTGAGCACTGTGCTCTAACCAACTGAACTAACCTGCTGCCCCATTCATTTATTCATTCACTCTGTACCAGGCATGCCATAGCCCTGGAGATATAAGAATAGATCACTGAGTGCTGGGACATCAAGAAGTGAACAGGTAACAAAATGCAACAAGTACAAGTATAGGCAGGGGCACTTCACTCTGCTCTAGATGTCCAGATGTCCAAAGAGGAAGCAGGGAAGGAAGAGGAGGAGGGGGAGGAAGATGAGGAGAGGATGGCTTTGGAGGAGGCAGATTTGTGTCAGAGAAAGAGGGGAGAGCAATTCATCACAAAGCAAGTTCACATGCAAAGTCTCATTTAATCTCATGCTATTTTATTATTGCTTTACAAGTGAGGAAACTGCAGCTCAGATGAGCTAATTTGTTAATTCCAACCATTCCCATTTGGCTCTCATACCAAGGCCTCAGAAGTCCTCCCTTAGCTCTAACCTCTTTTCCTCCCACTGTAGCTCCAAGTGTTCTCAGTTCTTTCCAGTAATAGGCCTGGTGTTAGGAATTCACTGGGTTATTCTCCTCCCTCCAGCCTCTGACCCAGAACCACTTCCTCCCTCCCTCCTCCTTTCAGTTGATCTTGTTATTCATCCATCCATCCATCCATCCAATATTTATTTTCTCCTTACCGACTTTTCACTCCCAGGCATGTCTGGGTCACACACACCTTTGACTCAGTTTCCCGCTGGAGCCAGTGCACAATCTCCTGGAGAACACTGCCCTCTCTGAGTCGGTACCTTGACCCAGGACTCAAGGCGAAGGAAGGCTGAAGACGAGGTGTCGTTCGTTGCCGCAGCTCCTCCATACCCTCTCCCTCGCCCCAGCCAGGGGTCCCCAGGGGAGGGGGGAGGCCGAGCTTGAGAACTGCTAATGAAGCCGCAGCCAATTAACGCCTGGGCAAGGGTTGGGGGCGGATAAAATTAGCAGCCGCGGCTGCTGGAGGGAGCTAGAGGCGGGGGTGAGGACGGTGGGCAGCTGGCCGAAGGGGGCCTTGTTTGCAGGCGGCAGCGGCGGCGACGAGGCCCGGCTCTCCAAACTCGCGCTCGTCCCTTCCCCCACCCCCTTGTCTCTGGCTTCCCTTCCTCCCTCCCTCCTCCGTCTGCAAACTCAGCGCCCACGAAATTAGGAAGGAAAAGGAAGATCGATGACTCCAGATGCTGCAAACACCGTTCGCCCTCCCCCCACCTGCCGCCTCCCGCCAGCCCCACGGAGCTTAGGAGGTTGTCAGCGCTCTGCTCACGCTGTTCCTGCATCTCCTCGAATGGGAATTCTAGGCTTTATACCTCCTCCCCCAAGTCGTGCCAAGTGCTCTACTGGCAGTCCCCTCTCAGATTTAATCCTATCTGGTACCTACTTCATATCCCAAGGGTCGCCCTCATCTCGTGTCTGATGTACTCTTGGATGACCTCCAAGGGGCTAGGTCCGTTAATATTTGCCTCAGTTTCCCCGCGACCCAAGGGGGTCGGGGAGGAGGCCCTGGCCACGTCTCTGCCAGACATAAACCCACATCATTCCCCCTTCCCTACAAAGGTCTCACACGGACTCGTATTGGATTTCACTTTATTTTGTTTCCTTTCTCGTCTGTTTTGGAGTAGAAAAAATACCACGGAGAGGAAGCAGCCGGGAAAGGGGCAGGTGGAGCAGAACCACAGGGACGGGAAGGAGGCGGGCATAGGGCAGGATGTGGAGTCCATTGCCTACCCAGGAGTCTGCTTTCACTACCTTAATTGGGGTTTGGGGAAAGGGGACAGGCATACGGCAGGCAGTAGGGGAAAAGGACAGGCCGCGGCTTATACTTCTTTAGTCTTTACATGAGGACAGGGTGGAGCAGGAGGAAAAGCGCCTGGGGGCAAGAAAGTCAGGGAAGATGAGGATGCCAGGCCAGGCATTATTAAAGCTGTGGGCAAAGGGAATGTCCAGCCCAGCGTCAGGGACGTAAAGGGGACCCATGTGGATGTAGGGGACGCTGGAACCGCCTATTCTGGGCAGCGCTTTGCCCCTCCACTTTGGGGTGTAGCTGAGGAGACTAGCCCAGCCTCGTAGGCACTCCCAATAAGGAAAAGAGGACCCACGCCGGCTGATGTTCCCGGGGAGGGCTGTTCCTCTCCGCCCCCAGGATGGAAGGGTGGACGCGGCCACAGGACTTGAGGGGCACGGGGAAGGGTCCCACTTGGGGAGGCCGGGATTTAGCGGGAAGCTCAGGGCCCGGGCGAGGGAGGGGCGCACTATCCAAAGTAGGGGTGCTCGCTCTGGAAGTTATAGTCTGGGCACACCTTCTGCACCAGTTTGTAGTCAAAGCTCAGGAAGGAGACGAAAATGCAGATGACTTTGAACGGCTTGGCACAGAGCCAGGCGGCCTGACTCTGCGTATGCTCGGTGAAGCACACCTGTGATGGGTCGTACAGGCACGGGCGATGCTTGCGCGCACGGTTTGTCTTCTCATACTCCACGTGGCAATTGAAAGCTCGTGACTCTTTGGCCCCAGGAACTCCCAGGGAGCCCCCAAGTGGGCCCGCCAACGCGCCCCCGAGGGTACCTCCTAACCCTGGCCCCGTGGCCGCCAGCCCCAGCGGGGGCCCCAGCCCAGGGAGCACCCCCTCCAGGGCCAGGGTAGACTGCAGAGGGTGGGGAGCAGGGCCCGGCAGCCAGACGCCCCCGAACTCGACACGCTTGGAAGGCGGCACGATACTGACGCTGAGGTTGCCCAGGCTGGACGAGTTGTGGCGGAAGTACACGCTAAAAGTCCCGTTCACATGGTCCACGATCTTGCCGGTCACCAGCAGCGAGAACTTGAGAGTATGTACCCGGAAGTAGAAGTCTCCCCAGCCGAAGATCTTTTTGGCGCGGGCGGCCTTGATAGACGGCTTTCTTTTGGTGCGCGGAGCGGGCAACGCTCCCGCCGCCCCCGCCCCCGCCCGGGCCAGTGCAGTGCTGTGGTTAGCGGGCCACGCCCAGCTCCAGGAGCCGGCGGTGCCCAGGCCGTGGGACGACCTGGGCGCCGGGAGCTGTTGGCCAGGGGCGCCCCCTCCGGTCGCTGCGGGGCGCAGCTCCACATACTGTGGCCTCCCGGACTCCGGTATCTGGGCACTGACGGCCTGTGGACACAGAATAAGGAGGAAAAAGAGACGCTGGGGTTGTCCCTGGCCACCCCGCCAGGGCCCTACCCACACCAGCCCCTTTCAAAAGCCGCTAGGAGACTAACAGGAATCCGGCACTCCTCAGCGAGTGGTTCAGGGAGTGTGCATTGGAATAGACCTGCAGCGCTTCCAAGCTATGTGTGTGGTGTTGGCCAAGACACTTCACCTATCTAGACCTCAGTTTCTACATCTGTGAAATGACACAGAATGCTTATGTTCTTCCAGAACTCCGATGTAACTGAGAAAGCCCAAGACAGTGTGGGTTTGAATAGGGAGTGGAGCTGGGGACCTGGGCTCCATCTCCTCCAGCCTGGAGCCTATATGGTCCAGCCAGAGTAATGGGCCAGGGAGGAGCTAGACTCAAGCAAGCAAGGCCATGGCCGCTGTCAACATCCAGCATTAAGAAAGAGGTGAAGACCTCCCAAAGCCTCTGCAGAGACTGGAGCCCCCACCTCAGCCTCAGCCTCTTCTCCCTTGTAGGAAGGGGCACGAGAAACCGGTAGAACTGAGAAGAGCAGTGGAGAGTCTGGGCGCTGTAGGTTGAGGCTTGGGTGCTATTCCGGTACCCCTCTCCATCTCCAGCGCTCCGGCAGTGGGGGAGGGGGTGCTCCTGGTGGTCCTTCTCCGGGCTCCAAAGCGGCAGGAGTAGCCGCCCTGGCCTGCCCCTACCCGTCTCCTCCTGTCTCAGGTGGTGGCGATCTGGGAGACAGCTTGGGCGCGAGTACAAGATAGATCGAGAGGCGGGAGCAGCGGGGCCAGGCTCGAGCCATCAATTATCTGGGGGTGGGGGTAGGGGGGGTGGCCGGGAGTGAAAAAGACGGGTGAGAGCAAGAGGAAGAAATATGGAGAAGCCGCTCCAGCAAGGGAAGCGGGAGGGAGAGGAGCTGTGTGTGTCAGAGTGTGTCAGTCAGACAGTGCTAGCTGTGGCCGTTAGTGTGGCTCTTACCGCGTGTGGGTTCAGACTGGGGGGAGGGAGTACTGCGTGTATCAGTCTGGGGTGGTTGTGTTTCTGTTAGCCTGGGATGATTGTACTGCGTGTCTGTCTACCTGGAGTGATGTGTATGTGTGCGTACCTATGGTGATGGGTGTGTGTCTGCCTGAGGTGTCTATGCATGGTGGGTGGCTGTGTGTGGCCCTGGTGACTGTGTATGCCTATCTGTATGCCCAGGTGTATCAGTCTGAGGATGCTGTGTATGCATGTCTGCCTGCTTGTGGTGGCTGAATGTCTGCTGTGTCAGTCTGTGGAGGTTATGTATGTGTGTCTGGGTTGTATATGTGCCTGGGTTGGCTGTGTGTATGTGTGTTAATTTGAGTGAGGTTGAGTATCAGTTTGTGATTGTATGCCTAGGTTGGCTGTATGTCTGAGGGTGGCTGTGTGTGACTCTCTAGGTGTGTCACTTTTCCTGTGTGAACTATCATCCTGTGTCCATGTGTCAAACTCTTTCTAAAGGGTGTGTATCAGTATATCCATAATGATAGAACAAGTGTGCTCTCACTGTGTTCCCCCCGCCCCCCTGGGGAGGTGCACGTGTGCGAGCTGTATATGAATGGTCCCTGCTGGCTGAGCTTTGGGTAGGTAAAGAGGCCTGTCAGCAAGGGTGTTGTCCTCTGTTTGTACACACCCGCGTGTATATGCCATGAGTCTACAGGGGACAGGAACAGCAGTCAGGCTGCTGGGCTAGAATCTCCCCTGCCTGGTCCCCATCCCCGCAGCGCCGCGATCCTGGGTTATTAATGCAGTGCCACCCGCTCATCATACATATTTATTGCCCCCCTCATTCCTCCTCTCATCCATCCCTCCTCCCAGCTCAGGTGAGAGGGTTGGGGGCGGCAAGAGTGATTGACTCAGACAGACAAGCTTGAACAGGCAGTTAACACTCAGAGGGTGGGACTGAGAGGGGCTGGGGGAAGGGGTCCTAGGCCACTGGGGGAAGGAGGAAGGGCTTCCTAGGAGGGGCCAAGGCCCCAGGAGGTGGGCTTGGAGAGGGCAGGGCTGGAGCTCCAAGCCCCGCCAGAGGGCATTGGAGGATGCAGTATGTGAAGCTTCCAGAGAAAGTCGAAGGGTGGGGCTGGGGGGGCACCATTTAAACTCTGACAGCTAACTCCTCATCCCTCTGGGCCAACCACTGCTTTTTCCAGGAGCTCCCATCAGTCCCCACAATCTGCTGCTACAAACCCCAAATGCCTTCAAGCCACCCCGCCCCTAGCACACCCCAGCAGCACCCGAAGTTCTGCACCTTCCCAGTCAGGGGCTGGGACAGGGAAGCAGTTTTGGCTGGTCTGTGAAGGGTGCAGGGTATCCCCCCTCTGATCCCAGACAAATTGCTGTCTACGCTTCTCTGATCCAGTCAAATCCCCAGGCTTTGGGCACCCGCACCCCCCACCTGCCCAGGAGACAGCCAAGATAAAAGGGAAGAGTTGGGGGGGGGCGGACAAAGCGACCTTGTGGGGGTGTCAGACAGGGAGGGGCGAGAATCTGCGAGGAAACGAGCCGAGAAATGGGAACATGGAATAAAATAAAATCAAATCCTCCCTCTGGCTTCCTTGCTCGCCGGCTTGCTCTCCCTCTCTCGCTCTCCCTTTTTCACTGCTTTTCCATCTCCATCTCTCTCTCTCTCTCTCTCTCTCTCTCTCTCTCTCTTCCCCACAGTCCTCTCAGTCTCTTGTCTCTCAGTCCCTTC